AGAAGTGGTAAAATTGTCATTATTTGCAGATGATATGATACAATAGAGAGAAAACCCTAAAGACGCCACATAAAAACTACTAGAACTGAAATGAATTCAGCAAGGTAGCAGGATACAAGATTAACATATGGAAAACAGTTGTATTTCTTTAACAATGAAATATCAGAGTATGTTTAAAAAAAAAAAAAACCTTTTTAAAATCACACTCCCCAAAAGTAAAATACTTAGGAATAAACCTGACAAAGGAGGTGAAAGACGTACAGGCTGAAAACTATAAAACATTAATAAAGGAAACTGAAGATGATTCAAAAAAATGAAAAGCTGTCTCATGCTCTCGGATTAGAAGAATTAGTATTGTTAAAATGACCATACTACCCAAGCAATCTGCAGAGTTAATGTGAGCCCTATCAAGTTAACCATGCCATTTTTTACAGAACTAGAACAAATAATCCTAAAATTTATATGAAGCCATAAAAGACACAGACTTGCTACAGCAATCCTGAAGAAAAAGAATAAAGTAGGAAGCATAACCTCCCGGACTTCAGAAACTACAAAGCCACAGTGACCAAAACAGCGTAGTATTGATGCAAAACAGAGACACTGAATAGAAAGAGTATTTTCTATTTTCTCTATAAGAGAACAGAATAGAAAGCCCAGAACTAAACCCACATACCCACAGTCAATCTTCAACAAAGAAGGCAAGACTATATGATGGGAAAAGACAATCTCTTCATCTAGTAGTGTTGGGAAAGTTGAACAGCCACATGTAAATCAGTGACATTCGTACACTCTCGCCAGATACAAAAATAAACTCAAAATGGCTGAAAGACTTAAACATAAGACATGACACCATAAAATTTCTGGAAGATATCATAGGCAAGACATTTTCTCACACAAATCATATGATGTTTTCTTAGGTCAGTCTCCAAAGGCAATAGGAGACAAAAATAAACAAATGAGCTCTAACCAAACTTATAAGCTTTTGCACAGCAAAGGAAACCATGAGCAAAACAAAAGACAACCTACAGAATGGGACAAAATACTTGCAAATGATGCGACTGACAAAGGTTTAATTTCCCATTATACACAGTTCATACAATTCAACAACAGCAACAAAATAAACATTAAGAAAAGGGTTCAGAAGACCTAGACAGACATTTATCCAAAGAAGAAATACATATGGCCAATAGGCATGTGAAAAGATGCTCAACATCTCTAATTATTAGAGAAATGCAAGCAAAACTACTATGAGGTGCCACTTCATACCAGTCAAAATGGCCGTCATTAAAAACCCTACAGGGACCTCCCTGATTGTCCAGTGGTTAAGACTCCATGCTCCCAATGCAGGGGGCACTGGTTTGATCCCTGGTTAGGGAACTAAGATCCCACATACCATATGGTGCAGTCAAAAATAAATGTAACTCCTACCCCTAAACCAAAAAACTACAAATAGCAAACAGGGGAGAGGATGCGGAGAAAAGGGAACCTCCTACCCTGTTGGTGGGAATTTTAGTTGGTACAGCCACTATGGAAAAACAGTATGGAGGCTCATCAGAAAACTAAAAACAGAACTACCATATGATCCAGCGATCCCACTTCTGAGCATATATCCAGACGAACCTCTAATTCAAAAACATAACGTGCATCCTATATGCACAGCAGCACAATTCACAATAACCAAGACATGGAAACAACTTGAACGTCCATTGACAGAGGAATGGGTAAAGAAGATGTGGTATGTATATATAATGGAATACCACTCACCCATAAAAAAGAATGAAATAATGGCATCTGCAGCAATATGGATGCAACCAGAGGTTATCATACGAACTGAAGTAAGTCAGAAAGAGAAAGACAAATACCGTATCATATCACTTACATGTGGAATCGACAATATGACACAAATGAAGCTATCTACACAACAGAAACAGACTCATAAACAGAGAGGACAGATTTGTGGTTGCTACAGGAGAGGGACTTGCGCAGGGGTGGAGTGGGAGGCTAGGATTAGCAGATGTAAGCTGTAATATACAGAATGGATAAACAAGGTCCTACTGAATAGCACAGAGAACTATATTCAATATCCTTTGATAAACCATAATGGGAAACAATATCAAAACTGAATGCTTAAATATGTAAAAATCAATTGGCTGTACAGAAATTAAGATGACATTATAAATCAAATTCATTACTTAATACAGCCTGGAAACTTGCCATTAATATCCTCAGCAAATATGGAAGCCAGGGCTCAGAGACTAAGTAACTTGCGCCAGGTCACCCAGCTTGTTCAAGTGGGTGAGCTGGGGCTTGGATCCTGGTCCAGGTAACTCTGAAGTCATCTTGCCTCCTTGTGAACAAGCCCTTTAACAAGAAAGTTTATTGCTAGAAGTGACTCTACAAGTCACCTGGTCCAGTGGTTTCTGAATGCAGGTGGGCTGGCCCTGTCCCTTGGAGATCCTGCTAAAGAGGCAGGATGGGAAGGATGGATCTGCTGTTGACAGAAAAACACTGATGTCCACTGTCTAAGGGAGCAGCAGAAATCCTATCAATGGAGGCTCAAGGAAACCTTGCTCTGCTCTCAGGCTCTATGGGTTAGAAAACTGAGAGTCACTCACTGTCTGACTCTTTGTGACCCCATGGACTATACAGTCCATGGAATTCTCTAGGCCAGAATACTGGAGTGGATAGCCTTTCCCTTCTCCAGCAGATCTTCCCAACCCAGGGATCGAACCCAGGTCTCCTGCATTGCAGATTCTTTACCAGCTGAGCCACAAGGGAAGCCCCTGTGGGTTAGAAGGGAGTAAACTTTTAGGGTGGGAACCACACCAAATCACTGGACTCTGGTCAAGAGAAGGCACACTGAGGGACTTCCCTGGTGGTCCAGTGGCTAAGACTCATGCTTCCAGTGCCGGGGGCCCGAGTTCGATCCCTGGTCAGGCAACTAGATCCCACGTGCTGCACAATATTGAAGACTGCAGATCCCACGTCCTGCAACTAAGATCTGGCACAACTATATACTGATTGCACGACTCTAGGCAAGCTGCTTAACCTCTCTGGGCTTCAGGTTATTCATCTATCAAATGGGAATAATAACTGGATCTCCTTACTAGGTTATCACGCTTTTGAATTGTGTTGGAGAAGACTCTTGAAAGTCCCTTGGACTGCAAGGAGATCAAACCAGTCAATCCTAAGAGAAATCAACCCTGAATACTCATTGGAAGGACTGATGCTGAAGCTCCAATACTTTGGCCACCTGATGCAAATAGCCGACTCATTAAAAAATACCCTGTTGCTGGGAAAGATTGAGGGCAGGAGGAGAAGCGGGCAAGAAGGGATGAGATGGCTGGATGGCATCACCAGCTCAAGGACATGAGCTTGAGTAAACTCTAGGATGTAGTGAAGGTCTGGGAAGCCTGATATGCTTCAGTCCATGGGGTCTCATGGAGTCAGATACAACTTAGCAACTGAACAACAACTAGGTTATCATGAAATAAAATATGAGAATATAAAATAATGCTCTGAATAGTGGCTAGTGTTTAGTAAGTACTTAGTAAAAATTAGTGACTAGTATTAGTGACATGTTTATTAAAATAATTCATGGATTTAAAAAATAATTTACAATATTATAATAAAGAGACTCTACCCTGAAAAAAAAGATCTGGCACAGCAAAATAAATAATTATTAAAGAGAGAGAGGAGGCACTTTGAAGCTTCTGTCTGTTCTTGTGCTGCTATAAGACCTTTTGTTTAACATGATATTCAGCACACTTTTGAAATATGCAAAGGTTGGCCTAGACCTTTGGGACCTGATGTATGTTGTAGGAAAAAAACTACTTTGATGGAGAAATGAACAGGACTTTGGGGGGATCAGCCATCCCTACTTGGGAGCAGAAGAATGAGGCAGCAAACGTTTGGGACCTGAGAAGAAGAATTCCCAGAGGGTCGTCTGATCAGGGTGACGTTTAAGAACAGGAAGGGGCAGAATTTCTGGGCTGTTCTGGAAGGTTCCTCTCTTACTGCCATAGCTAGGGACACTTTCCAGTTTAAAGAAAGGGGTAATCCCACGTGCTTCACTTGGGGCTGGCGTTAGGAGGAGAGAAGAGGACAGACAGACAGAGAGAAAATGTAATAGACACTAGAGCTTGGAGCAGGAAAAGCCCAGAAGTGACCTAAGTCCATGAGGACCCCCTAAATTACTGGCCAACAGTGGGGCACGGGTGCTTCCCGTTTCCTTGTACTTAGAAACTCAAGTTTCTTATAAAGTGAGAGATCCTCAGGGATGTGCAGGGAATAGACACCTTAACAGACACTTGGCGACTGACAGACTCCGGGAGGAGGCCCGAGATTTTTGGCTCAGCTGGTTTGGAGGTATGCCCAGGAAACAGTACTCCTGGGTTGGTAGTTACTGGTTTATTATGACTATTACATCCGAGGTAACTCCCAGGGAGTTTCATGACCTGCCCGAGGCATCGGGAAGCTCTTCTGTAGCAGATTTGAGGGTAGAAACAAATTCTCTTGTTCCATCAGAGCTTGTAAGTCCCACAAGTATGCTCTTCCTCCCTCCTAACAGCCAGCCAGCTCTGCACACTGCATGGACAAACGGGGCTTAGAGGAGCTATCTTAGTTTTCTACGACCATTCCTCTGATGAGCACATGCCCCTGTAAGGCCTAACATAGTACAGGTGATCATTGGTCCTGCTTCTGCAGACCTGGACATCTGCATCTTCTGGGTACCAGGTGGCCCTCCGCATGCCGTGGCCTAGGGTCAGCTTCTGAGCCACCTCACAGTCTTCCCAGAACTGCTGACCCAACCAATAGAGGCAGATGGGAAGCACTTTTCTAGACAGTACAGCACTTTTTTTTTTTCTATGCCTTTCTAGATCCACATAGCCCAACAGATCAAATGGCCTCTTTTATTCCCAAAGCAAATTCATCCGGAGTAAGCACTTCTGACATTCAAATATACACAGTCTAAGCAGTTGCCAGCTATAATCATCCATTCATTGCAGGCCTCCTTTCTGTCCATTGTCTTGTGTTTCACAGGCAAAACGATCTTTCAGCATTTCCAGCTGCAGTCCCTGGGGGCAACTGTCTGTGGGTGCGCTGGCCCAGAAAAACCTCAGAAGCTGGGGCAACTTCCCTGCTGGCTCACCAGCCTCCTTCTCCCTCCCATCCTTCTCCAGGCTGCTCCCAGAGAAACTTCGTGGATGGACCATCAGGCCTGTTCTCTGCAGAAAACTGTCGTCTCCTACTGTGGACACAGAAAATCCACCTCTTCCCCAGTGACCTGATCCGTATCTTGTACTGTCACTGCCTGAGGACCTGCCCTTTTTGAGTGGGCACTTCCCAAAGCAAAAAATGACAGGCCTTTCCAGTCGAAAAAACAGATGCTGGTGGCTGCTTTCCTGGTTATCACCCTCCATGGGCCTCTGGATTCTTCTCAGAGACACTCAATGATACTTCGTGTCCCGAGTGACCTGGTTTCCTTTGTTCCCCAACCTGACTGCCCGCTGCCAGGAACTCCGTGTTGTGTTTATGTCTTCCTACCTAGCAAGGCGCTAACTCACAGGGTCTGGAGTCAATGGTTCACTGAACTAATGAGGGAAGGAATAGATTCCACTCCCTGTGACAGGATTGATTCCCTGGGGTGAGAGGGCCGCCTGGGGGGGTGGGCTGGGTTGGGGGCTCTGGCCCCTGCATTTAGAGACCAGCCCTAGAAGTGGCCCTTTGGAGAAGGGTTGGATCCCTGGATTGGGAAGATCCCCTGGAGAAGGGAATGGCAGCCCACTCCAGTATTCCTCCCTGGAGAATTCCATGGACAGAAAAGCCTGGCAGGCTACAGTCCATGGAGTGGCAAAGAGTCAGACATGACTAATAACTACTTTTCACTTTCCTATAAACAGCACTAGTCACAACCAAAGGCAACAAAAGTTCCCTTGTCTTGGAGCGCCCAGGCTTCCCCTTGAATAGGGTGCTGGACCAAGCTTTTCTGGCCTCTGGGGTGCCTGTGGGGGGTAAGGTCACTATGGCTGGAACCAAGCCCCTGGGGGCTGTCCACTCACTGGGCTCCATGTTGCTGGGATCTTCATCTTTTACAGTTAGAGTGGTTAGTGCTTTTGTTTTCTGCGTAACCAAGTCTTCATGTATCCATCCCTTGCTGATGGGCTTCGCCTTCAGCTGCCATCCGAGTCCCACCGTCTCGGCGGCTTAAACAACAGAGAGTGTGTGTCTCACAGTCTGGAAGCCAGAAGTTTGAGATCAGGGTGTCGGCAGAGCGGACCTTCTGCAGTCTCCCACCCTTCGTGGCAGACAGCCGTCTTCTCCCTCCATTGTCACAAGGATTTCTCTGTGTGTGTGTCTGTTGCGTTGCTGTTGTTCAGTTGCTCAGCTGTGTCTGACTCTCTGCAACCCTGGGGACTGCAGCACGCCAGGCCTCCCTGTCCATCACCAACTGCCGGAGTTTGCTCAAACTCACGCCCATTGAGTTGGTGATGCCATCCAACCATCTCATCCTCTGTCACCCCCTTCTCCTGCCCCCAATCTTTCCCAGCATCAGGGTCTTTTCCAATGAGTTGGCTCATTGAAATCAGGTGGCCAAAGTATTAGAGCTTCAACTTCAGCATCGGTCTGTGTTCTAATTTCCTGTTAAGGACAACAATCATATTGGATTAGAGCCCAGCCACAATAACTTCAACTTAACTATTAATACCTCTTTAAGGACCCCATTTCCAAATACAGTAAATTACATTCTGAGGTGCTAGGGTGAGAACTTTACTTAAGAATTTGGGAAGGCCATGATTCAGCCCATCACAGACCTTCAGGCTCTTCTCAGTGTTTCCATGGTAATAAACCAAGCTGGGGCGACCATCCTTTTGTAGTTCTCTTTGTACACGGGGGTGATAAGGTAGATGAAGGGAAATGGAATTGCAAGAACAAATGGACTCATAGCTTGCTTGTTTGTTATTGGTCTCCAAATAGTTACAGGAATTTCCCCCTAACCCTGCAGTCCATCCCAAAGGAGATGAGTCCTGAGTGTTCATTGGAAGGACTGATGTTGAAGCTGAAACTCCAATACTTTGGCCACCTGATGTGAAGAGCTGACTCATTGGAAAAGACCCTGATGCTGGGAAAGATTGAGGGCAGGAGGAGAAGGGGACGACAGATAATGAGATGGTTGGATGGCATCACCGACTCAATGGACATGGGTTTGGGTGGATTCCGGGAGTTGGTGATGGACAGGGAGGCCTGATGTGCTGCAGTCCATGGAGTCACAAAAGGTCGGACACGACTGAGCGACTGAACTGAACTGAACTGCAGGGCCTGGCAGTTCTCTGTCCATGTTCTCATCAGACTTGGTGTCACCAGATTTTTGTATTCTGGCAATCTGATCATTGTGAAAAAATATTCTCCCTCCTAGGTCTGTCCTCAGCACTCCTGTCCCAGTCCCTGGAGGTGGCCACTATTATCTTCTGTGTGCAGCCCTTCAGAGTAATTCAATGCCCCCACATTTGACTTTTCAGAAATATCTGGACATATCTCACATATCTCCATATTATTAAAGAAACTTCTTAAAAGTTGTTTTTAATGGCTGTGTACTCTTCTGTGGGTGAATGTGTCATAGTTTTGAAAAACAGCCTAATTGTTGGCCTTTGGTTGTTGCTTTGTTAAAAATATTCCTCCCAGAATTTTTAAAATTCATAAAGAAAATAAAACAGCCATAAATCCCAGTACCTGTTGACATTATATTCCTATTTTCTTCTGTAGCTATAAAATGCTTTTCTTATTCTTCTTATAGGCACTGATTTGTACAAAAGCCTAAGACTTCTTATGGAGCTTGGAATTCTGGGTATTATTTAACTTTACAATGTGAGCATGTCCACAGGCCGCTAAACCCTCCATGCCTCCCTCCTCTGCTCCAGTGAACACTTTGAGGAATGAAAACCAGTGAGGCCATAATGGGGCTGGGCTTGGCCTTGGCTCATAAGCTAGTTAATTTTCTAAAAGGTAAATTAACTACTAACTGAACTCTTAATTATCATTAGTCTGAAATTACTTTGACTTATCCCACAACCCATCAGTCCACGGAGGCTGAGGCCAACTTCCCCGAGACTTTTGACCCTCTGCCTGCCAAGCGACCCCACTGACCTCCTCAGTAAGTAGGATGTGTTTGTGGAGGAAATATGGGCCTTTAAAGCAAAACAGCTCTCTTGTTCTAGAAAGTGGAACCCTCTTCTGAACACTACCAAGCAGAAAGGGCTTTTTTTTTGTTTTTTTCTTTTTTAATGGAATTGAGTTCATGCCTTCTCAGGGCGGCCAGACATGAACTGCCATTGGTGAAGATTTGTTGCTTTTAGTCACTAAGTCGTGTCCGACTCTTTTGTGACCCCAGGGACTGTAGCCTGCCAGGCTCCTCTATCCACGGGATTTTCCAGGCAAGAATACTGGAGTGGGTTGCCATTCCTGTCTCCAGGGGATCTTCCCAACCCAGGGATCTAACCTGTGTATCATGACTTAAGAGGCAGATTCTTTACTACTGAGCCACCAGGGAAGCCCCCATTAGTGAAGATTATTCATCTCAATTTCAGTTTTAAGAGAGAGAGATTAGGAGAAAGAGTCTCAGTAGTGAGCACTAATAAAGTACACAAACTTTGAAACATGCTGGGACCATCTGCAGGCACTTTGTGCATCAATAAATCTCATATGAATAATAAAGTATTTAAAATAAACTGAAGGTTTGTCGATGCTCAGTATAGCTGAAGTGGAAATTGTGAGCCTGGTTAACATATTTGTGGTCTTTTTAAAACTTGTAAAAACTTGAAATTATGATTTGCAAACTGGATTCTAATTCTATGGGGGAAAACAAACCCCAGTGAACACAGGACAACTCTGATCTGAATTATGAGTGTACTGTATGAATAGATGACAACATAAACTCACTAGTCATTGGAACTTCAGTCCCAGGAAGGGAAAGTATGGGGAATATTTCAAGAAGGAAGCACAATTTAAAACCCCAAGTTGCCATCTTTTGGATGTTGCTAAATCACTGTTTCTGTGAGTCCAAAGGACTGAGGCTGGTAGAATTACAAAAAAGTGCTAATGAGAGCCTTGCAGCTGAGCATATGAAGGGCTTGGTGCAAGGTCCCCAGCCCTGCAGCAGCCTGGGAACCTCCTGAGAGGGTGGAACTTCTTGGTTAAAGATTCCCAGCACTAGCCCATTCAGTCTCAGGCCTCAATTAACATCTACATTTTTGCAGACTGTTTCATAGTAGATTTAAGAGAAAACAGGAAGCAGTCAAAAGATATTAGAAATGACAGAGCTTCTTTCAATTATAAGAGATAAATCATCTGTGTCCAAAAGATCAAAAATTCTTGAATGTGGATGGTTTTTCTGAAGTAGGGCGAAGCAGTGACATCTTGTGGACAGTTGTGGTAGTTGCAAGCAACTCAGCTTTAAAAATTTAAGGATTGGTTCATGTGTTCTTCAGTTCTTTAAGGTTCATTCATACATTCTTTCACTCACTGTGTAAATACATAGCAATTTCCGCTTTAACCTCTGATGTTCCTTTTAAACAGTAAATGACAATCTCAGAGTAAAGGTCAGATTTTTAATGACTCTTCCAGTAGGGTCAAATACTACCCTGACTTCTGCTTATCTTAAACAAAAACAAGAGGATGTATGGACTCAAAGAAGCTTAGATGTTGTGGGCAAATGGCTTTAAGACATGTTTCTGATTTTTATTTGCTGTGTGAACGTGGAAGGAGTGGGCCAACTCAGGACTTTTCCTCTTATGTAGAGCACCAGTCAGATTGTGGAGATTAAACATGAGTTCAGTCATAATGTGAATTATTAAGCTGGCTGATGTCTGAAATGATGGTATAGTGGAAATAAGTCATTGGGACATAGGGCTATCTAAGCTCTTTGGCTGTCAATTTTCTCATCTGTACAAGATGAGTGTTAAACGAACTGATTAGGAAGATTGCTTCTGACGGTCTACAATTTGATATTTTTCCTTTACACCCTAATAAGTCCCTGTTTTGAGGATATGAGCTCTCCAGCCTGTGGTTGTGCTGGTTTGACCTAACTTATTTTTGGCCTATAACTTGGGAGTATTTTGTTTCCTGGATAATAAGTTCTAGGTGGCCAGTTTCGAAAGGAAAATATTAAGAGAAGCATTTTATGTATTCTTTCATCATTGATATTCCAGTATTATAATGAGGGCAGTTAGGCAAGTTTCTTAACTTAGAAACAGGTAAATATTTTGACAATATTTACCTGCCACTGACTTACCTGCCCCTTCTGGCCCAGGATTACTAGGATGAGCAATGCAGCAGATGGATCTTTCTTTCTAGGTCTCCCTTCCCACCTCATTCGTTTCTCAACAATCTGAGGCCCTTGGATAAAATTCCCAAATCAAGTTTATGCCTCACTGTCAGAGGAAACAACATATCTTCTGGGAAAATTTGTTCTTTCCTTCCCCAACCTGTTTCCCACTTTTTCTTTCTTGCAATTAGTTTTCTAAACATTACCAGAATACTTTTCAGTCCCTCATGAGAAGAAACAACAATTCCATTTTACTTCATGTATTATTTGTAATTGACAGTTCATAAAAACCCATTCCCATACATTCTTCTCCTTTGCTTCTCAAACCAAGAATGCGAGGTTACTGGAACAAGTTGTTACAATCCATTTTTAAGTTAGGAACCTGAGATCTGAAAAAACTGAGTGAACTTCCTGTGGGCAAACATGCAGGGAGTGATGGGGTTGACACTGGAACCCTGGGCTGTCCTCCTGGGCTTAGGTCTGGAGTCCCCAAACTGTGTCGGTTCATTTCACAAACTGTCTCAGAAACTCTTCTTGTGCTATTATTAGCTTGCATTAACTGTTGCTAGAATCTGTCTTTGAAACTTTGTAAATTTCCAAATGAGGATGCTCCCTTTAGAAAGGCAGAAAGGCCACAGATGGCCTTGGGATGTGTCTTCCCAGAAGCAGACCTTCCTTGTGCCAGGGATGTCACGTTGAGCAAGAACAGTTTGGGAAGTGATACCAGGAAGGATTTGGAACGGGGAAGTGAGACAGGGTAGGGGAAGTGAGACAGGGTAGGGACGGAATCTAATATCGGGGGCACTAATTAGTGGATGAGCCCTGTGGGCAACTGGAGCTCAGTCTGCTGGGGACCCTGGAGACAGTGGAAAACATACCCCAGAGTTCTCCTACCCAAGAACAGGAGATTGAAGTATTGATGGACTAACTCATTTGTCATTGGGCACTCCCCAGCAGCATGGCAGGTCCTGCAAACTGGCCAGGCAAGTTCCGCAGGGAGAGCGGGCCTCCAGCAGAGATGCAGGGGGATTGCAGCAAGCAGCAGTTGCGCTCCCAGGAAAGGTGAGTGCTGAGAGCACATGGGTGGGCCTCGGCCACACCCCTGTCAGTTACACAGGCTCTTCCTGTATCTGGTGTTAGGACTGTGAGTCGCACGTCTAGCACCATGCAGTGTGGTGAGGGAAACACAAGATGCATGTAAAGATCTAGAATCTTTACCTATCACAACACTTGAAACAACTAACACTGGAAGATACTTATTAGCAAGTGTCAACATGAGTACTGTTAGAATTCAGAGAAAGAGATTGGAAAATCCTGCTGAAAAATAACTTCAAGGGCTTGGATTTGGGTAGGAGAGTGAGACTGAAGGTGTGATCAAAGGAAAAACACAGGCAGGCATGCACCTATTTCTCCTCTGTCCTCTAGATAACAGGAAGTGGAAAGCCTTTCACCCCATGTTTACTAAATGACTATGTGGATATAGCTTAAAAGAAAAGAAATCATTTAGAGACTTATGATGCGATATAAATAAAAGTAGATCCAATATTTTTAAAATAAGTGATAAAATACAGGCTTATGCATACATTTACAAAGGCACAACAGATGAGGGGAATGCAGTGAAAACCATGTCCCAAGTCTGTAGCTTTAAATGAAAAGAACAAGATCTGAAAATAAATGACCTAAGAATTCATCTCAACAAGTCAGAATAAAGAAAGCTTAAAGAGCAGCACCACCCCCCACTTAAAAAAAAAAAAAGTACGAAGAAGGAAATAGAGAAAAAAAATTGATGAAACAGAAAACAATAAAGAAAAAGATCAGGGCTTCCCTGGTTTCTCAGTGGTCAAGAATTCACCCGCCAATGCAGGAGACATGAGTTCGATCCCTGGCCCATGAAGATCCCATGTGCCACGGGGCAGCTAAGTCCATGGGCCACCACTACTGCGACTGGGCTCTGGAGCCTGAGAGCCGCAACTCCGGAGCCTACGTGTTGCAACTACCTAGCCTGAATGTTCTAGAGTCTGCGCTCTGCGGCAAGAGAGACCAGCGCAGTGAGAAGCCTGCGCACCTCAGC